AGAATAATGAGGGAAAGAAGGTATATATTCCCTGAGACACAACTCCACTTTGGCTTCCTTGCCCCTCCCAGGCCTGGTTTCCTGGCCTGGGAGTCCCACTTTATTTCTGTTCTTTTTCTCCTCAATAAACTTTTTCTTTCTCTAAACCTGCCTCTTCTCGCTTGCTTGCCTGAGCGTCTGCGAAGTTCCTGCTGCGGCTTCGTGAGACACCAACCCGTGGGGGTCTAGTGGCTGGGACTCAGCACTGCCCTGCAGCCTGGGATCCGTTCCTGGCTGGGAGACTAGGCCTGACAATTCCGGTATCACACCCAAATGGGACTGGCCCAGAGCGAGGCCCCAAATCCTGCCACAAGTCTAAAGCACCTTCCAGTGGGGACCTACAGAAAAGGATCAAAAACAACCAGTCTGGTCTGGAGGGAAAAGAGCAAAATCAAAATCAAGAGAAAAACCACCATTGTCACCTCCCCACCGGTCTCACCCACATCTGTGTCACCCAGTCCACGACCAAAAGACAAGCATAGTTTCTTCACGTGTCTCTTGGTTCCCTGTGCCTCCTCCAGGTCTCCTTCTTGCTCCATCCTGCTTCCTTCTTCCCCAGTCTCCTCTCCAGCTTCTTCTCCCTGCTCAGCTCCACCCTCCCATGGGTGGGGCAGTAAACCTGGAACCTCCACCTTTCCTGGGGACCACCCTGTTACAGTAGTACAAAGCACACCTACCAGCACCAGGATAGATCCTGTCAAAACCAAAATTGGAAGAAAATGGGATCTGAATACAGTTCCTGGAAACTTTACCTATTTCTCTGAAATCCTGCTGATGCAGACCCTTTTGCCTCTCCCCTTCCTTAGTACTTCCCCATGTAGTTTCCTGCTCTCCCCGGTAGCCCACCATGTCCTCCCTCAGAGTTGAGCCCCAGAAGAGGCACGGGAGATTGTAAGACATACAGGGCATCCTCAGACTGGAGTGATGTGTGACCTTGGAGTATATTGTTTCTTCATCTTTGGCATCTGTGATGTCAGAGAAATTTTTGGTCTCTTTTTCTATGATGTAAGCAGGGCTGTATATATTCCAGATTGACAACGGGAATGTTCTCTCTCTGCTATCCAATACAGTACCCATAGCCACATGTGGCTGCTGAGCACCTGAAATGTGGCCTCTTTTATTGAAAAACTGAATTTGTGTTTAATTTTAATTTTTACTTTTATTTATTTATTTATTTTTTAAAAATCAGAGTTTTTTTTTTTTTTTAAGATTTATTTATTTATTTATTTATTTATACAAGCACTGGGTACAGTCAGAAGTGTGGGAGGGTGAAAGAATTTACCAGAGCCAGAGTGGGGAGCAGAGCAAGCAGAAGGACTGAAGTACACTGCTGAGGGGAGCAGCGGGCGGCAGGAGAGGTCTGTGCGCCATGCGGGATCCTCCTCCGGTGGCCGGGGAGCAGCCGGGGATCGAACCGGCGCTGCAGAGGCTGTGGGCAGCTTCGCAACCCAGCGCTCAACCGCTGCGCCACCAGGGAGGCCCTAATTTTTACTTTTAAATGACCACTTGTGACTGGTGGTGAGTAAATGGACAACACACCCGGAGTTGTTGTGATGCTGTGGCACCACCTAAGGGGCTTTGGCTCCTGCGGTCGGAGTGGCGGGATGGTACCTTTCAGGAAGGAATCCATAGCTCACCTTCCACTTGTAGCTCGAGAAGATCCTGCCCCACATTCTCCTGCTCTCCTCACTCCCTAGCATTAACACTCAGGCAGCCAACAGATGCCTTGGGCAGGAAGCATCCCCTTTCTGACCCTACCCTCAGGTGTCACACAATAGATTCAAAATGTTAATGGAGGTGAGATAAGGGAAGACACTAGCAGGAGAATTAATTAATCCAGGGCTTCAGTTACCCCAATGGCTCATCCCTTCAGAGCCACCTGTCTCCCGGCTGATTTCACAGGTTTGCATTTTACAAAAGAACAGCAAAAATCCTGAATACACCAATAATAATATTTAGAAGCACAGAATGTCAAAGCCAGAGGGAGCCTTCAAGAGCATCTGGCTGATCATACTTATTTTATGGGTGGGGAAGCCGAGGTCCAGGGTGGGTACCCTGGAGGTTCACTGCAGTCCTGTAGGATGGGGTGTATGATGGAAGATTAATGAAGCCAGAGGGTGAGTCCCACAGGATCCCCCAGAGCCAGAGCCAGGGGTGTATCCAGAGAAGTATGTCCAAAGTGGGTCATCTGAGCAAGATGTGGGGGCAGCAGTGGGAGGCCCACAGAGACAGAGAGCAGAACAGGATGAGGTCAGCCACAGAGGTGTAAACCCACATTCCAAATAATAGGCAGAGTTATTTCCAGGGCTGTCCTCGTTCATTTGGGCTGCTGTACCAAATACCATCACCTGGGTGGCTCTAACAACACAAGTTTATTTCTCACAGTTCAGAGGCCAAGAAGTTCAAGATCAAGGTGCCAGCAGATTTGGTGTCTAATGAGAACTTGCATTTTGGTTCATAGACTGAAATCTGGCCATGTCCTCACTGGTGGAAGGGGAAAGAAAGCTCGGTGGGGTCTCATTCATGAGGGATTGCCCTTCATCCCCTAATCACCTCCCAAGGGCCCCCCCAACAAATACCATTGTTAGGGGGAAAAGGATGTCCCAAAGCAAATTCCATATAGGCTTTGTGGACTCCACCCCCACCCTAGGTCAAAGCCAAAGACACTGGGAACTCCAAATCCCATCACCACCAAAGGGACGGTGGCTGGGACCTGAGGGTGGGGTTAAGCAGCCAGGTGGATACAAAAGGCAGACACATGGGCTTTGGGGGCTCTCTCCATTTTTGGGATCTTGGCCAGCAGCAGCGTCCGGCCAGCTCTGAGAGTGACTTTGGGTTTCCAGTTCGTCGGATCTGGTAGGACGCATTAAAGACTTTATTTCCCTATTTTCTTCCTGAGTTGTACATTTTCCTTATTTCCTTTTCTCTTGTAAATAAACCTTTTATTAACCCTTTGGCGTGTGTCTGTAGTAGAGTATTCATAAGTCCCTTTAAAGCGCGCGGGTGAGGACCCACAGCCAGGAACCCGTTTAATATCGGGGTTGCTCTATAACACCATCACTCTGGGAATTAGGTTTTTACGTGCAACTTTAGGGGGATACTTCAATCTATAACAAGAGCTTATATATGGCAACGCTTTTCTGGGTGACTGGGGCCCATTTATTGAGCAATCTGTATTAATTTTATGAACCCAGGATAGGACACAGGATAAAAACTAGCGGAACTTTGCTTCACTTGCCAGCGGCAGCCCCAGGTCTCAGTCTCAAATCTTCCTTCCATCCACGCAGTGGATCCTTGATCCTTGACATAGAGACTACATATTTTAGTAGCATCCATCATCATACCAATAGCTGTAATTTCCTGAGCACTTCCTAGTAAGAGCCAGACATTATGCTAATGGATTCAAGGGCCATTGTCTCACTTGATTACCCTGACAACCTTATTCAATAGACCTTCTTCCACCCATTTTACAGTGAGAAAACTGACTTACGAAGACAAAGAATCTTGCCCCAGGTTGCATAGCTAACAGGTGGCAGAGCTGAAACTTGAACTCAGGTCTGATTTCAAAGCCCATGTCCTGTGAGGCTGCGAGACTTGTGTGCGGAGCAGGATGGACTCACCAGCTCCATTTGACAGATTTGAAAGTTTAAAATTTGCATGTCAGACTGAGGCCACAGCACAGGTAGTCTCTGCCTAGAGGACAGAACCTGGGACTCTTGCTTTTGAGTTCTGTGCTGCCTCCTGAGACCACATTTTCCCTTTTTCATCTGTCCTGTCCCAGGGGGCTATTTTTCTCTTTTGACCAGGTGACTTCACAATTTATTTCCTCTGGCAGGTAGGGAGAGTCTCTCCTGCAGGGTCCCAAGAGCTGCCAGAACACTGAGTATTGATTTGAGGAGTCAGGAGCGTGGTCTCATTTCTGAGTCATTTCTGAAGCAAACCCCTTTTTGAGTGGCATCCCAGGGAAATCACGGTGCCTTGTCCTTTTGGTGGCAACTCTTGCAGGAAGGGGGCGGGACTCCCAGCAGACGGCCAGGAAAGGTTAGGAGCTCCACGCAGCATCCTCATGCACACCAGGGTCTGCTCCACCCAGCGAGTGTCTGAGCAAAGAGCACTCGTGCTTGATTAATAGGCACACACTGACTGTGTGGCGGCTGGGCCCAAGGGCTGTTAGCCATCTCTCCTTGGTGCTGACATGAAGCTTTAGCTCCTGGGGGAGGGGCTGCCATTTTGAATCCTCAGCATGGGGAGGCCAAACCTCCTATCCATGGTATTTCCCATTATCCCTGTAAGTGTTATAGGACAGGAAGAGGGGTAGCCCAAGCCCCGCAAACCTGCCTATTCTAAATGGGTTCTGCCATCCGCCGCATCAACACAAAACATAGGAGACTTTAATGGGAAGAAACTTTAATAAAACTAGGAAACAATACAGGTAAGGCAAAGAGTCTAGTTTCTAAATGAAGCACCCAAAGTTACTCATCCCCTCGTGGGTAAAACTCCATCCATATGGGATCGGCCCAGAACAAGGCCCCAAAGCCTGCTACAAGTCTAAAGCATCTTCCAGTGGGGACCCACAGAAAAGGGTCACAAACAACCGGACAAGCCCGGAAGGAAAAGAGCAAAATCAACATCAAGATAAAAGCTGCCATGGTCACCTCCCCACGGGTCTCACCCACATCTGTCACCCAGTCCACGACCAAAAGACAAGTGCAGTTTCTTCATATGTCTCTAGGCTCCATGCGCCTCCTCCAGGTCTCCTGGCTCCATCCTGCTTCCTTCCTCAGTCTCTTCTGCAGCTTCTCCTCTTCCTGCTCAGCTCCACCCTCCCTTGGGTGGGGCAGGGAACCTCCCCCTTTCCTGGGGACCACCCTGTTACATAAGGACTAGAAGGGCCTTTTGGGGTGTCTAGTCCCCTAGCCCCCCCACTTAGGGCTCTTATCTACCACATAAGGCCCCTCCAGAGAGAGCAGCACAGTAGTTGCCCCTCCACGGTGTTCTCTGTACTTGGGATGTCCTTGGGACGGAAGTGGCTCCAGGCTGAACATGGCTGCGGGGCAGAGGTGTGGAATTCCAGAGTCCAGGGGACTTCAGTCCCTTTTCCAAAGGAATAAAAAGAGATGAACACATTCTGTGTGCTTGCATTTATTGTGGTAAAATACACAGACCATAAAATTTAAAATTTATCATTAATGACATTTAGTGCATTTGTAATGTTGTAAAGCATTGACCTTTGTTCCTAAGACATTTTCATCACCTGAAAAGGGAACTCCTTGCACAGGAAATACTCCTAGTATCCTCTTCCCTAGAGACCAAGGAAACAACCAACCTGTCTTCTATTTCTATGGAACTGTCTATTCTGGGCATTTCCTAACAACAGAATCATACAATGTATGGCCTTCTGTGTCTGGCTTCATTCACTTAGCATAATGTTTAAAAGGCTCATCCACATTATAGCAGGTTCAGTACTTTATCCCTTTTTATGGCTGAATTATATTCCACCAGGTGGATGTACTAATTTTATTTACCCTTTTGGCTATTGATGGACACTTTTTGGCTGTTATGGATAAAGCTGCTGTGAGCATTCATGCGTGAGTATTTATTTGGAGATCTGTTTTCACTAAATGAAACAATATTGTTTTACGTATTTGAAACAAATCCATGTAACTCTCTTTTGTCTTAAATGGGAGCCAAATTCATTAAAATTCAATGCAATGAAAACTTCAGTTCCCCAGTTGCTGTATTTCAAGTGTCCAGAGCCACATGTGGCTAGCAGCTAGTCTGTCCGCCCTTTGGCCAGTCCTACCCGAGCAGGTTAAGTGATAAACTCATAAGCCAATAAGGCATTACCTAGCTGGTCATTGAGTGCAGTTTTTCTACTTTGTAGGGAAGACATTGAGGCCCAAAAATCAGATTGGTAGCAGGAGCAGAGTCAACCCTGGAAGAACCTTGAGTGGCCCCACTGCTGCTTAATGGCCTAATCACCCCACACCCTGGAGACACAGCTGTCTCGGGCAATCCCCATCAATATCAGCAGCAGAGAGTTGGAGGTCCGGAGACCATACCCACCCATGCTGCCATGGCCACCAGGCCCAGCAAGTCTCCAGAAGACTCATGTTACCACCATAGCCAGCAGGGACTGGTAGGGCATGATGAGGAAAGCTAGAGGCCAGCAACATGGCTCAAGATGCATGGCTATGTGAAGGAGAGCTGAGGATGTGTCTGCTGTGCAGGAGGAGCTGAGCAGCTGGATGTGGGCAAGGAAAAGGCAACAGGTCCCGGCAGGGAGATTTCTGGCATCAGCAGAAAAAATGGCTGTTACTATGTTCATACTAAAAGAACTACCCAAAGAATGAGAGAAAACGAGAAGGGAAGGAGGCATGCTCCAAGTGACCTGGCCCAGTAGATTCTTCCCAAGTGACCCAGATTGTGGGCCATGCCTCCCAACATGTGAGCACCCAGTGGTGCATATCCCAGGTCCCAGCCCTCCTGAGGTGATGTGGTCTGGTTTGCTGTAGAATCATCAGATAGCCGGAAACACATGATGTGTGTGTCCAGGCTATGAACCCCATTCTTTGAACTCCTTGGTCAAAGGCAGTCCAGCCAGGCAATGGTGATTCAGATTAAAACCAGGGAGACATGAGCCCTGGGCCAGCAACCTCCTCAACATCACATCATCATTCTGTGGATGGTCCCCAAATCTGAAATCATGAGAAGACAAAGATCAAATTCCCCCCTGACTGAGACTAGTCCCTTTCCAAAAACTGACGAGGCTGAGCTGAGGCCATGTGAGCTGTTTTTGCCATCAGCCACGGCAGGAAGCCAGCAAGGAGCAGCACACACGAGCCTCTAGCAATAAGACATGAATCGAAGAGGTTGGTAAGATAACTGGAACCATCAGCACTCTCCCTGCAGTACAGGACTTTGATTTTGTTTGTATGCACAGACTTACGAAAACCAAATATATTTTGAAGGTCTGTGTTTCACATTCACCTTGTCAAGTTGAGTTTGCAAAGAATTTTGAGTAAGAAAATCTTTCTAGGATGGGACATCTGCTTCTGGGGTCGGTGGCCACAATGTAATCAATCTAACTAGCTAAGACCCCCATGGTATGAGGAAGCAGGGCACACGGCGGGGTTGGTGGGGGGGGAGGGTTGGGGCGGGGAAGGGCTGTCACGTGCAGGTGCTCGGTCAACACACCAGCCCAGGGCCTCGCAGACAACCAGCACCACGGGCATCAACCGGCAGCCTTTCCGGGGCCTCTCTGAATGTCCACCAGTCAGGCCTTTAGATGACTGCAGCCCCAGCTGATCTTTTGCAAACCCACGTGAGACTCCAGGCCAGAACTCCACTTGAGCCTTTCCTGAAATCCTGATGCCCAAAATAGCGAGTAGCAAAATGGTTGTGTTAAACAGCTTAAAAAGCCAACCAGAGAAAAATAAACAAAAAAACCACCTTTAAACAACCTGAGGCTTGTCCAAGTTCACAAACTGCATGCTCTTGCTGACAATGGCTTTAAATTTTAAGAGTAAGGGGCCTCCCCGGTGGCGCAGCGGTTGAGCGCTGGGCTGCGAAGCTGCCCGCAGCCTCTGCAGCGCCGGTTCAATCCCCGGCTGCTCCCCGGCCACCGGAGGAGGGTCCCGCATGGCGCGCAGACCTCTCCTGCCACCCGCTGCTCCCCTCAGCAGTGTGCTTCGGTCCTTCTGCCTGCTCTGCTCCCCACTCTGGCTCTGGTGAATTCTCTCACCCTCCCATGCTTCTGACTGTACCCAGTGCTTGGATAAATCAATCAATCAATCTTGAATAAATAAATAAATAAATCTTAAAAAAAAAAAAAAGAATGACACTGAGGCTCCAAAAGGGAAGAGGCTTACCCAAGGACACCCTGATCTGGACCCCTGGCTGCCTTCCTCTAGGGGTTGGGGTCCTGCTCCTGTAACCCACTGTCCTGTATGCTGGCCAGCTCACCAGACAGGTGTGTGCATCGCTGTTCACAGTGTCCCTTTGGCCCGTGTCTCTTATTTCACAGTCTGCTCAACAACACTGCCACTAGAGGGAAATCTCAGGGGGCAGTCCCCCTCAAATCAAACCAGCCTCCCCCAAAAAGGAGTCCTTCCCAATGTCTGAGGCTGCCTACTTCTAGAAGAACTGGGGGACAATGTGCTGGTTGAGAGAAGGCGGGTGATGTTTCCCAGTGGTCTGAGGGGAGAGGGCCTGGTAGGGTCACTAAGGCGGGCCTCCTGTCAAGAGAGAAAGTAGGGGAGCAACCCTGAACCAGCCTTGCTTAGTCAAGCAAGCACAGGCAGGAAAGCAACCAAGACGTCACTCCTCAGCTTCCTGGTGAGGGGCAGTCTCAGGCACCCCACAGGGGTCCCCAAATGGGCTTTTAAGCATCTCTGGGTAGGACTGCCTTCTGGAAAAGTGGATGCACTCAGGAAAGATTGACAGACCCCCAGGAGGCTTGTGCCCAACCCCTGGCCCTCCTGGGAGGTTGAGTAGGAAAATCAAACTTGTGGTTAATGGGATTGAGGAATGGGGCAAGTCTGCCTGCGCTGGGGAGGGAGAAATGGCTGACTTGTAGAGCTTTCCATCTGAAAACACCCACTTACCCTCTGGAAACCTGCAGGTCTGGAGGTTCACAGGCTGCCAGAGAAACCCAGGCTTCTGGTAGTCTGAGGCTCTCCCAATATGGTCTTGTGAGTCCCAGCAATTCACTCCCTACCCTGAATCCAATTTTCCTCATGTATATCATGGAAACCAGACCAGGGACAAATGAGATCATTGGTTTTAAGCTCATTCTTTATAGCCAGGGACATTTTTTTTATTCAAATGGGATCTTACAAAGCATAAAGTTTTTTAAAAAAAGTCTTATGAAGAATAAAGCAAAAAGGAATAAAGCAAAGCTGCCCTGGTTAAAGGTGGAGGCAGGGATGGAGGGAGCAGAGCTCAAGCCTAGAGCCCTAGGCTGCCTGACTTCTGCCCCTGAGAACTCTCAGCCCCAAGTGCCTATGTTTTTTAAATAACATTTTCTCTCCCCCCAGTGTTCTGAGGTAAATCGTGCAGCCAGGTGTCTTGTTATTGTTACTAAATTTAAAAACGAAACCCCCCTTCTTTGTCCAGCAGGCAAGTTTGGGAGGCTTGAATGGATAAAGGGAGTGGCTGGGCCTGCCATGGGAACCTGGACATTAAACTGATGATCCAAAATGCTGATGATCCTCTATGCTAATTCAGACCATCAGTCAAGATACACCCAAGACTAGTGCCCCCAACCATTTCAATAATGCCTCTAGTATAAATAGAGCCTCGGGACTCACTCTGCATAGCAGATTCCTCCTCTCCTGACGGTTGCTTTTCTTAACAGTGTATTTCAATAAATCTGCCTGTTATGGTCTCCATTCTCTCTGGTGAATTCTTCCAGGCTCGTTCTTCCAGGCTACACTGGATATCCCCCCACAAATCTATGTTCTTCCCTTCAGTACGTTGTAATTTGGACAAGTGCCACTTAACTTACCTCGGTCTCTTCATCTGTAAAATGTGTTTGATATCACTTACCCCCACAAGGTGTCTGCAAGATTTAAGCAAGGAAACTAGCACACACCAGGCATCTCTCATGGCTGTCCCCCGTTCCTGGTACAGGTTGGCTTTGTTTCCCATCTGAGATTTCCTCAGACCCCATCTAGCACTGTGCTGGGAAATAGGGAGTAGAATTTAAAAAATAAATAATACAAGGCCAGTGACTTCAAGGAACTCACAGACAAAAAACTGAGAATTCCCACACAAATAGTTTAACCAAATAGGTATGTTCAAACCTAGATCCTTGACTTCATATTTGTCTTGATTAATATTCACTTTGTAGCTTTGGGCTAAATCACCTGACTTATCTCAAATGTTCTTTTGGTCTTCCAATGTAACAGCGATCTAATTTTCCTTTCCTTTATCTGCAAATATAATCAACATAGTTTCCATATCTTTCTGGTATCATGACAAGAAGAACTAAGCTGAAAGCAGTGTTCTGGGTCTTCCCACCAAATTGGTTCTAATATATTCCTCCATCCCAAGATTGTTAGGCTGATTCAAAAGTCATCTCTCCCTCTTGTGCACACTCCTATACCTTTTTATTTGATAATAATTGGTAATAAATTAATTTTTATACAAACATAATTTTACACATGCAAAAATATTACTGTGTGATATACCTTTCTGGAACCATCCCCATTTGGCTTGCCTCCTTTCTCTTCTCCAATCTTCTACTCACAATACACTCCACCTCCAAGCAGGGCCCTTCTCTGGGTAACAGGGTAATGAACGGGTATGTTATGTGTCCTGACGGGGGTCATCTAATTATGCTAAAAGCTAAGCTCCCACTCCTTGTCCAGCAGGTGGGTTTGGGAGGCTTGAGTATATGAAGAGAATTGATAAAGTTGCTATGGGAGCCAGCCCTAAGTCCAGGTCACCTTGACCAGGAAAGCATGCAAAAGCCGGCCAGGACATGTTTCTGTGTCAAAGTGTTACAGGGCAAGGAGAGGGCACCCCAGACCCCACAAACCTGCCTGCTCTAAATAGGTTCTGCCATCCTCCACATCAACACAAAACATATGAGACTTTAATGGGAAGGAACTTTAATACAACTAGGAAACAATACAGGAAAGGCAAAGAGTCTAGTTTCTAAATCAAGCACCCAAAGTTACCCGTCCCCTCATGGGTAAAAGTCCACCCAAGCAGGATTGGCCCAGAACAAGGCCTCAAAGCCTACCACAAGTCTAAATCATCTTCCAGTGGGGACCCACAGAAAAGGATCAAAAACAACCAGACAAGTCTGGAAGGAAAAGAGCAAAATCAAAATCAAGGTAAAAACCGCCATTGTCACCTCCCCACGGGTCTCTCACCCACATCTGTGTCACCCAGTCCACGACCAAAAGGCAAGTGTAGTTTCTTCACGTGTCTCTCGGCTCCATGTGTCTCCTCCAGGTCTCCTTCTGGCTCCATCCTGCTCCTTTCTTCCTCAGTCTCCTCTGCAGCTTCTCTTCTCTCTGCTCAGCTCCACCCTCCTTTTGGGTGGGGCAGGGAACCTGGAACCTCCCCCTTTCCTGGGGACCACCCTGTTACAAAAGATCAGTGCCAGAGTCCAGCAGATAACTGGTGCCCCAAGTTAGAAAGCCTGGGAAAACAGAGTCTAAAGAGAGCCTCAAATCCTTTCTATGCTGACCTCTCCCATCTCATCCCCTGCTCTCTTGCAGGATATTTCAATAAATCCACCTTTTCTGTTCTGCACTCTCTCTGGGGAATTCTTTCACACCTCCACCACCCCCATGCCTCTGGCCTCATCCTGATATTTTTCCCCACTACATGCCCTTCTATTTATATTTTTTATGCACACACACATACACACACTCCCCATATACACATAATTGCCTTTTTTTGGTCAGTGTTTCACATTAATTGGATTATATATTGCATATTTTCTCAATCTTACTTTTCTTTTTTTTAAAAAAAAAATATTTATTTATACAAGAACCAGGGTACGGGTCAGATGCACAGGAGGGTGAGAGGATTCACCAGAGGCAGAGTGGGGAACAGAACAGGCAGATTGACGGAAACACACTGCTGAGGGGAGCAGCTGGCAAGACAGGAAAGGTCTGTCCCGCCACGTGGGTATCTCCGTGGCCGGTGAGGATCGAACTGGCACTGCAGAGGCTGTGGACAGCTTCACAGCGCTGCCTCAACCCGCTGTGCCACCAGGGATGCCCTAATGCAGACTTTTAAAGGGTTGTATAACAAACTATTAAATTAAAAATTACCATAATTGATTCAACTCTTTCTAATTGATAGATATTTACTTTTTTTCCGTACAAGAAAGAAATATTTTTGCAGAAAGATTCTTATATATTGGTGCTTTTATTATTATAGGATAAATTCTGAGAAATGAGATTGCTCTTAATTTTCATAAATGTTGCCAGATCATTTTCTAAAATGACCATAATAAATCAGATTTCCACACCCAAGCCAGCAAGTAGGTGTTCCCACTTTTTTCTTTTTGGAATGCCTGATAGCTGCAAAGCGACTGCTCATTGTGTTACTTTAATTTATGTGTTCCTAATTACTATGGAAATGGCATATATTTAATGTTTGCTCATCACTTAAAGGTTTGAATTGTCCTCCCAGTTCCTCTGCCTCCTGTTCTATCAGTTCTTTGTCAGATTCTTGTCAATTTCTGAGAACTTTTTATATACTATAGATTTAATTTTGTCTACTACTGCATTGTAAATATTTCCCAAGCTTAATGTGTGTGATTTGACTTAATTTTTGGTGTCTCTTGCCACAAGTAAGTTTTTAATTGCTCTCTTTTGCTTTCACAATCTCTGTTTTCTAGTCTCACTCTGGACAGTCTCTTTTGTCCCTGGATTATAGTAAATAATTTATTTTTCACATTTTAAATCTTTAGGTCTCCTGAAGTTTATTTTGCAAATTGATTTACAAAAAGTTATTTCTGCTTTACTGTATTTTATTGTTTGCTGATTTTATAATGTATTTCTAGAGTTTTTATTCTGTTTTACATACCTTTTCATTTGCATTTATGCAAATAACACATTCATTTGCTTTTAGATATTTTATAGCATGTTGTGAAATTTAGTCTGATTGATATTCGAATTGGAATTATAGTAAATTTATCAGTGCCATCTGGAAAAGCAAGGTTGGGAGGATAATAAGTCCCTTTATCACAAAATGTTTTTTTCTGTTTCCATTTGTTCAGATCTTATTGTATTCAGATTCTTTGGTAAAATATTCTAATTTGCTTCATGTAGGTTTTTCACTTTTCTTATTACCCTTATTCCTTAACATTTTCTAGTTTATGTACAGAACACTTTTCCCATTTTCTTTTTCATATACATTGCTAGAATAGAAGAAAACATTGTTTTTTGTATATTTACTTTATTTCCTGCCACATTACCAAACTTTCTTATGTACGCCAGTAATTTTTGCTAGTCAGAGTCTACTGAGTTTTCTAGGAATGCAATAGAGATTATCTCTTCTACAAACATGAGAGATTTTACCTGTTCTTTTATCATTTTAGGTCTCATAATATTTACTAGAACAAAATAATTGAATAATCATAATGAATGCAAGCATCCCTGTCTAATAACTGATTTCTAATTTAAATGTCTTTAGGGATTTGGCATTTAGAGTAATATTTGCTTTTTTTTATATTTGTGTAATCTAAATTCTTTGTAACATTTATTACACTTAAATTTTTATATTCATATTTAAATAATTTCCATCTTTTATTACTTTACTTAGGTTTTAATTAGAACAGTATATCAAGTGTTCTTTAAGTATTTGTTGATGGAATCACAGTTTTTTCTTCAGTGTATTGAAACACTGGATTATGTTAATAGATTTTCAGATACTGAGCATTCCTTGAATAAACTCAACATCATTTTACCATATTTTTCTTTTGAAGCATTGTTAAAATTCATTCACTAATAATTTAGTTAGAATGTTTACATCTGTAGATGTATATGAGTTTGACCTATAGCTTTTAAAATTACTTTCTTAATACAGCTTTCATAAAAAATATCAAGAGACCATTTTATCTTTTCATAAAATCCATACTAATCTCTCTGACATTGGAATCAACTGATCTTTAAATATTAACTAAAACCCAGTATAGTTGTGATCCTATCAGTTCACTATTTACAAGATGGTAGCTCTATAATCACTTCCCTAATTCATCTGTTATTGTAACAGGGTGGTCCCCAGGAAGGGGGAGGTTCCCTTCCCCACCCAAGGGAGGGTGGAGCTGAGCAGGGAGAGGAGAAGCTACAGAAGAGACTGAGGAAGGAAACAGGATGGAGCCAGAAGGAGACCTGGAGGAGGCGCATGGAGCTTAGAGACACGTGAAAAAACTGTGCTTGTCTTTTGGTCGTGGACTGGGTGACACAGATGTCGGTGAGACCCGTGGGGAGGTGACAATGGCAGCTTTTATCTTGGTGTTGATTTTGCTCTTTTCCTTCCGGGCTTGTCTGGTTGTTTCTGACCCTTTTCTGTGGGTCCCCATAGGAAGATGCTTTAGACTTGTGGCAGGCTTTGGGGCCTTGTTCTGGGCCGATCCCATATGGATGGACTTTTACCCACGAGGGGACGGGTAACTTTGGGTGCTTGATTTAGAAACTAGATTCTTTGCCTTTCCTGTATTGTTTCCTAATTGTATTAAAGTTCCTTCCCATTAAAGTCTCATATGTTTTGTGTTGATGCGGCGGATGGCAGAACCCATTTAGAACAGGCAGGTTTGCGGGGTTTGGGCTGCCCCTCTCCCTGTCCTATAACATTATGACTGTTGTTCAAGTGTTCTACTTCCTCTGGGCTCAGTTTTGGTAACTGTGTTTGCTAGCAAATCATCCATGTCTTCTAAATATTATAATTATTGCCAAAATTTTATATTAATATCTTAGAAATTTCTTATTTTTCTTATATTTGTGCTTCTGTTTACTTCTACTTTACTAAGCTATTTCATTTTTCCTTAATCAAGCTTGTGAGGATATGTTTCATGTTATTGTTCTCTTCTTGTTACTCTTAGAAGAACTCTGAAGCTACAGCCCTTCAGGGATGTCCAGAGCTGAGGCGAGGGTGCTAGAATTTTATACCTCTGCACTAACCAGGTATTCAATGTTGTCTGCCTTGGAAAGTGGACATGACTTTGGATATACCAAGGCAATTCTCCCCCACACCCAAATTTCCCAACTGCTGACTGGCAGTTGAATGCTGCCTGCCAACAGGCTTCTCTGAAGCTCAGAGGGATTAAGTCCTTCCTTCTTTTAGAGGAGTCTGGGTGGCACATTACAGCACACTGTAGATAGCCTATTGTTTTTTCCTGTGGCCCTTGACTTTCGAAAAGTTTTGGAAAATCACACAAGGCCTTAGCTGTGAACTTGGTAGAGTGTGAGGCCATCCCCTCACTGTGGGCCACTGCTGCAGACAGCAGGGTGGTCACCCTCTGAGGCATGTGGAGAACCCCTCCTTTTATGCAGCCACCAGAGCACAAAAGAGTCTGTCCATCTATTCAGTCTCTCTAGACCAAGCACATGGGAGCAGGAAGGGGAGGGATGGCAATACCTTGGACAGATATTTGAAGGCAAGGACCTCTCAGGACCAACTGCTTTACCATCCTCATCATCTTCCATCCTGGGGGAGAAAGTCTTACATCAGTTTCTTTGACCATTACCCCCATGGTGCCCATTTACTGGCCCTCGCTACTGTTTGGCATGGGAGAGTCAGATGGATTAGAGCTAACAGAGGAGAGGCAGCAACTGCAGACTGACTGTTCTCATAATTCCTCACTCCCTTACTTTCTCATTTGTCCACAAGAACAAGCTAAATAATTGTTAGTTGAGTAGATGAGACCATCGCACTGACTAAGCAGCCAGTGGACCCAGTGAGAACTGAGCTGGAAGCAAAAAAAGACAAACACGTCATTTGGAGGTGAGGGAAAAGTTTAATCAATCAAAATTCAGAATGGAGGGCCTCCCCGGTGGCGCAGCGGTTGAGCACTGGGTTGCAAAGCTGCCCGCAGCCTGTCCAGCGCCGGTTCGATCCCCGGCTGCTCCCCGGCCACCAGAGGAGGGTCCCACATGGCGCGCAGACCTCTCCTGCCGCCCGCTGCTCCCCTCCGCAGTGTACTTCGGTCCTTCTGCCTGCTCTGCTCCCCGCTCTGGCTCTGGTGAATTCTCTCACCCTCATGCACTTCTGACTGTACCCAGTGCTTGTATAAATCAATCAATCAATCTTGTATAAATAAATAAATAAATATTTAAAAAAAATTCAGAATGGAGCAATTAGCCAACTCCTGGAGACAGAGTTCTCTGTGTATACTTCTATCTGAAGTGATCACTGTTTATGTATTTAAGCAAAGCTTTATGTCTTATATATGAGTGTGAGCAGGTAGAAATGTTTACTCAGCCTGAATCCCTGGTTGCAAAGCTCTCTGTGATCCAGGTCCTTTGAAATTCAAACATATTCATGAGACTGAAACCGAAGATGCTTTAGGAAGGCAGAAGGATCTGTCTTAAAAAATAACTCACAACCCCATATATATGCTTGGAAATAGACATATTAATTGAAATATCTGATTGTGGAGAATCAAGGGGTTCATGATTCCCTGGAAGGTGTTCTCCTGCACGTACACTGGGGCCAGGCTTAGACTCCACCAGCAGTTCTGAAGGTGCAATTCCAAAAGAACAGAAGAAGGAGGAAATGGAAACGTGTAGAAAGGAGAGCCGGAGGCGAGCAGGGAGCTCTGTCTGAGCACGAACGTTGGAAGGAGACATGCAAAAGGCAATCTCGCAGACAAGGACAAATGCTAAAGGACACTCTGCAGCGGTAAGAGTAGTGTCAGCAACGCTACGGTATTGAATGAGCTGAGGTTTGGAAGAAAAAAGTCAAGGACAAGAGAAAATTAATTCTTTTTTTCATTTTGTTTGCAGCCAGGAAAATAGGAACTTACCTGCCGTCTGAGGTTGCTGGACTCTCTGCCACAGGTGACCAGGTGCTCCCTAGCCCTTGCGGAGCCCACAGGGGAGGCAAGGATGCAATAGGCTACAGTGTTAACAGAACAGAGGGAAGGCAGTCACCCCACTTCTTTTGTTGTTTTTCTCATGAGGGGTTGAGTCCTGGGGCAAGTTAGGGTTAATTAGGCAGCTGCAGGGACAGTGCAGGCAGGAACTTTGGGAGAATTAAAAAGCTTTGGAGATAAGGGCAGAGAAATCCAAGAAGGCTAATGAGGGCAGTAAATTTTTTTTATATTTTATTTTATGTTATTATATATACATTTATATTTAATATATTTTATTTTATGTAATCCTTACATCATTTTTCATTTTTGCACTATATATGCATTTTCATTTTGGTTATAGTCCCCATACAATTCCACCCCTCTTATTTTGACCCTAATCCCTCCTATCCTTCCTTCTCCGCACCACCCCCCATAGTGTGTCTCTGGTTTATAGTTGCTTCTTGATTTTGACTTTTTCTTTATTATAATTAGTCTTTTTCCTGGTCCCTTATTAGGTTTTCTGCAGTGGGCTCCATAGTTGCCCCTCTGCCTTCTCTCCCTCCCATTCATATTGCTGCAAATTGCATGAGTTTATCTTTTTTGAATGCTGAGTAATATTCCATGGTGTATATGCACCACATCTTCTTGATCCAGTCATCTATTTTTGGGCATTTGGGTTGTTTCCATAGCTTAGCTATTGTAAATAGTGCTGCTATAAACATAGGGGTGCAGGTGCCCTTTTGAATTAATGATTCTGGGTCCTTTGGGTAAATACCTAGGAGTGGAATTGCTGGATCATAGGGAAGCTCCATCTTTAGCAGGTTGAGGAATCTCCACACAGCTCTCCATAGTGGTTGGACCAGTTTGCCAGGGCAGTAAATTTTAAGAGACATTGGCCAGGGCCAGTGAAAGAAAGACTAAGAAGAGGAGCTGTAAAGATGCACCGCGCCTAGGGAAGTACAGCCACTGAGAGAGAGGCAATCACACAAAAAGGATGATGAGGTTTTAGAATAGAGAAAAAGGGTTTAAATGTCCCCTAGACACAGGCCCATTCGGCTTCCTTGACCCTCCCTGGCCTGGCTCCACCGGCCTGGGAGTCCCAAGTTATTTCTGTTCCTTTTCTTCTCAATAAACTTTTTCCTTCTCTAAACAAATCTGCCCCTTCTTGCTTACCTGAGCATCTGCGAAGTTCCTGCTGCGGCTTCATGAGACATCAACCCCTGGCAGTGCAGTGGCTGGACTCAGCACTGCCCCAGCAGCCTGGGATCCGTTCCTGGCCAGGAGACTAGGCCTGAAAACCTGAAATGTTGCTATCTATCAGAAGGAAGAAGGACTGATGTGGAGGTGAAGCCCAGGCCAGTAAAGAGACAGAGTGGGCACATGCAGCTTAGAGGGAGGGAGAGAAGGCAGAGGGGCAACTGTGGAGCCCACCGCAGATATTTATCCCATTCAGGTTGTGGTTCTCGCACAGGTTCTGTCTCAAATATGGAAAGAACTCAATGATGTGACCTCCAAGAACTGCTGTCTGGACTCTCAAGGGCAAGCGAGGAGGGAGGAGGCTCAAAACTGAAAAGCAAAACCACCGAGCCCCAAATGGGAAGCTGCCGGCCATTGACCTGACTGCTCATTCCTGGAAAAGCCTTCAAATTTTGTTGTTGAATTGTACGCTTTTAAGTACTTAAGGATGAGAGCTCTTGGAGCAGGAGGACTCGTGAAGAACAGGACCCTAAATATAGGTGGTTTTTGTTTCAATAGAGTGAATCTGGTTGATCAGAAGGTTGAAATTTCAGCAAAATATTTCTCTTTCTGCCACTTGGGGCCACAGGATGGAAGTAGCTGGTCTCAATGGTGGTAGGGGGCTTGGGGAGAGGGCTGAAGAAGCATCCTTAAAGAGTGTTGGTGAGTGAGGTCTCTACCATCTCGCCCCAAGAATCTGCTTTATTATGAGGGAGACAAGTGAGTACAATTGTTAAAAGCAGCTTTTGAGTTGAATGAATTTCTACACTGAAGTCATGGCTGAGTCACTTAGGAGCTGTCTACCAAAACAATTTCTTTCTTTCTTTCTTTTTTTTTTTAAAGATTTGTTTATTTATTTATACAAGCACTGGGTACAGTTAGCAGCGCGGGAGGGTGAGAGAATTCACCAGAGCCAGAGTGGGGAGCAGAGCAGGCAGAAGGACCGAAGTACACTGCTGAGGGGAGCAGCGGGCGGCAGGAGAGGTCTGCGCGCCATGTGGGACCCTCGCCCGGCCGCCGGGGATCAAACGGGCGCTGCAGAGACTGCGCCAGCTTCGCAACCCAGTGCTCAACCGCTGCGCCATCAGGGAGGCCCCCAAAACAACTTCTGTTATTTCTGTGAACCTTGGTTTTCCCCTTCGAAAATAGGAAGTAATTCTAACCCTACTTACAAAAGCATAGATTCACATATGTGCACACATACATACCTCACACAAACACACATGTGTATACCTGCATACCAACATGCACATTATATGTACGTTTCATATATAATGTGCTGAGCACAGGAGCTCACTGATTTTTGGGTGGTCTGAGCACACTATCACCTCTTCCTCCAGGAGGCAGGGGCAGGCACTCGTGTCCTTGAAGGGCAGGTTTGGGTGCCCCCCAGGGTATGAATGTATGAGAACATCAAGGACTTTATGAAAGGGGAAAATTTAAGGTTGGGGTAAGCCTAAAAGAAAATAATAAATCCTGAGCAGTTTCGCTAAATGAGAATGGATTGCAGCACTCTGGCCAGAGGGAAATTTAGGAGTTAGTGCTGCAATTACAGCCCTCCCAGAGTTATAGGGCGCACCAGAGAGTCTTTAACTGATGCCCTGTAGCTGGAAGAGTAATTCACCAAGCTGAGTTGTACATCTAAAGAGAAGTCCTGCTGGAGATCAAGCGCTTTTTTCTTCCAAATTAAAAAGCAATTTACATTCCTAAATCACAAGTTGCTGAGTTCTCCCCCACACCACTATGCAAATCTTATTCTATAGGCAGACAGATTGTGATAGCAGTAATCAACAACAAAAACGTCACTGCTCCCTCCATGCATTTAAAGCTCTCCTGCTCTCTGCTTAGGGCAGAGCCGAGCGTGTGCCCTGCCCATGTCCAGAGGCCAGTATACCTGCCCCAGCACTCAGCTCCTTCATTAGCTGAACATCTGCTGAGCCTTGGACCAGTCTGAGCACCATCTGAACTTCAGTACCTGAAGCAGAGAGCTAATCAAGTCCCAGGCATGCAAGGTGATATTAAAATAAAATGGAGGTAATGGATAGCTGCTGAGCATCTATTATGTATTATGCTCTCCAGTAGCAATTCTCACAAAGGAAAGTCCCATCTGGGACACTATTCCCATTTTACCAAGGAGGATATGCAACATGAAGGAGTGAGATTCTTCTAGGTTCAAGTGACAAACCCAGTTGAACCCAAAGTAGCTTCAGGAGGAAGGAGATGCTGGTGGGGGGAGGAGGGTACTCACAGAAGAGGCAAAGAGCTGTGTGAAGCCTGGTGACTTGGGCCCTGAGCCTGGACTGGGGGAAGCCATGTCCTGGCATAGCCCTTGCCTTCCTCCCACCCCCTCTGGTGTGTGCAATCCTTGCACGCTTCTCACCCTCCTCCT